GAAAGAAAGAAAGAAAGAAAGAAAGAAAGAAAAGCAAGCAAGCTTTCAAGGAAGACTATGAAGAATAAAGCTTGCAAACCTGGGCCAATGAAGAAAATGAAATGTAAATCTTATAAACGTAATCTCATTATAATCAAATTAACAAAATATCGTATTCAAAAAAATGTCTTAGAGACCCAGTGGGAGACCTCAATGCATACTATTGCAAAGAAGCAGTATTGTAAATGATGGTCCAGCTTGCAGCTAGCCTGGGGGCTCAATCCACAATGGCACAGCAGTAAAGAAATATAGAACCGCCTGTTATAGCAATGTTTCTATGGGGAGATGTGTTACAAGATGTGATACTATGTTTTGGAATACAGTATCTTGTCAGGTTTGGGTTGGCTCGCCCTCAGTTGTACTTAGACTCTGACTAAAAGATGCTGTTGCAAAAGATCAACCAAGAGCTGAAAGGCGAGGATCCTTGCGGCAGTATAATGTACGTAATCTGGGAAAGCTGGTCCGAAGGAAAGAGACTGGGCAAACACAAAGGAGAATGACAAAGGAGTTTGGGATCAATACAAGAGCAAACATTTCTGCATACTTTAATGATCTCTGGGGCGGGGGGTGCGGCTGACTGCAGTAGAAATAGCCGTGTGCCCTTCTCTTTTGCCACAAAACCCAGATTATAGAGAAGGAAGAAATCCACACATACAGATGTCAGAGACTCCTCCTGAGGAGGTCTTAGTTTAAGACCAGACTTCAGAAGGATTTGTCACAGGAGGACACCAGGTCAAATATGCCAATGTCCTGTGTGTTCCTAGCATGGGGTATCTTGGTGAGTAGGCATGGTTTCAGGTTTCCAAAGAGTCCTGGTCTGCTACAGTTCCCCCAGGGACATTGGCCCTTGGTGATAAGTGGCATTTAACATAATAGTTATGAACAAAGTTCTTCATGCCCAGCCCAACATGGGGCTTTAACTCATAACCCTGAGATCAAAACCTGAGCAGAGATCAAGAGTCAGACATTTAATTGACTGAGCCACCCGGGTGCCCCTAGGAGCAAAGGTCTAAAGTCTGGAAGCCCGGACCACATGCCAGCACTAGCTGCATAATCCTGGGCAAACTTAACCCAGTGATTCCATTTAGAGAGTGGTTTAAGAATTAAATGAGTTCAGGGCACCCGGATGGCTTAGCCAGGTAAGCGTCTGACCAGCTCAGGTTCATGGGTTCGAGCCCCGAGTCAGGCTCTGTGCTGACACCTCAGAGCCTGGAGCCTGTTTCCGATTCTGTGTCTCCCTCTCTCTCTGCCCCTCCCCCGCTCACGCTCTATCTCTGTTTCTGTCTCTCTCTCTCTCTCTCTCTGTCTCTCTGTCTCTCAGAGCAGGCCTGCTCTGTGGGGCTTGCCCTTCCTCTCCCCCGCCGCGCAATCTCGGGCCATTCCCACCGCTTTTCTGTCAGATCATGGCAAGCCCTCTCATCGCTTTAAAATCACCCAAGAAAATTCTCATTTTCCTAACGAAAACATCTTGCCTCGTGGAATAGTCAAAACTTGCAACCACATGTAACGGTGGGGCTTCCCCTCCCCCGGCTGGAGCCTGCTTTGGGCTGGACGCTCAGTGGGAACAGGAGGCACCCATGGCTTTCCCCCTTCCTCTCCCAGTGCCTCCTCTTGCCAAACCCGTCACCCACCAGCTACAGTCTCTAACCCTAGACCCTTCCGGAATTAGAGTCCCAGGGGGCAGGGAGGGTCTTTCTTGACTGGCACCAAGCAGGCGCTAGTTTTCTCTGGCCGCAGACATGCCTAAGACTGACACTTTGCAGGGTGCTTTCTTGGTTCTGCTTCAGAGGGACATTCCATGAAGGGGGATCTCTCAGTGCAGCCCCTTAGCATGGGCCGCACCCTCTCGCTGACCACGCACAGCTCCTTGAACCCTAGCTCCTCCCCCAGTCATCTCCACACAGACTGTCTTTAGGGTCTCATTGCCTGGGCAGATAGATGCCTGTCTTATCCAAAGTTCCTTTCAGTTGGCATCAGGGGCACCTGGGTGGCTCAGTCGGTTAAGTGTCTGTTGATCTCAGCTCAGGTCTTGATCTCAGGGTCATGAGTTCAAGCCCTGCGTTGGACTCCACCCTGGGCATGAAGCCTACTGAAACAAAAATTGGCATCATGGGGCTCCTGGGTGGCTCAGTCTGTTAATTCTTGATTTCAGCTCAGGTCACGATCTCACAGTGCGTGAGTTGGAGAGCCCTGCATCCGGCTCTGGACTGATGGCTTGGAATCTGGAGCCTGCTTTGGATTCTGTGTCTCCCGTCTCTCTGCTCCTCCCCAACTCATGCTCTGTCTCTGTCTCTCTCTCAAAAATAAACATTAAAAAAAAGTTGTTTTTAATAAATAAATAAATGTTACTGAGCAAATGAATCAGTCAATCACTGTGACAGAAGATTGATATATTCTAGGAGACAGTTTCATTTTTTTATATTAAAATTTCAAATGTACTTGAAGTACTGGGGTGAGAAGCTTTTAAACTCTCTAAACTGCAGGGTTTCCTTCCAGATTCTTCATCAGTGTTTCATCTCACTGATGGTCACTGTCCCCATCACTCTTGTTTCCTCTGCCACCTCATAATGTCCATTTCTGCAGCCACCGCTGGAAATACCTCTACTTCCGCTGTTGCGACCAGTCTTCATTTTTATGAATCCATGGCTTATGTCTTTTATACGTGCCAAGGAGATAATTACCAAAAATAAATCAAGAGAAGAAATATTTGGATACATGAGTCCTTCTCATGTATACAAATACCATAAGAGTGATACTTGTATCAACAGTGTTCGGAACTTGAAAAACCAGTCAGTAACACAAATGTAAATAATGCAAGAATAGAGTATAAATAAGCATATGGTATAATAAAGCATTAAGCCTATAATAAAGAATAACGTAAAATAAGCATAGGGTATAAGTAGCAAGCCTAAGCCACAAAAACCATTATGTATAAGAGAACTTGCCACAAAATTTCTTTTGTGGAAAATTATAATTGAATTAAAATTCACTTGTAAATATGTTCTATACACAAACCATTTTCTTATAGAATATATCTGTTGGGTAAAATAACACGCATCAGCGATCTACTTCTTGCTTAGGATGTTCAGGGTCGTGCATGAGATGTTTCTTATGGTCTGCAGTGACCTTGATTTCCCCAAGTAATTGCTTTAAAAGGGAGCACTCATGTGGAATTTAAATTCTCCCGTATTTTTAAATCTCCTGCAGGTTGTACTAAAGCTATACCCAGGCTCAGAGAATCCAATGGGAGAAGAAAATGATACGTGGCTTCTATGTCCTGCAATTAGCAGCAGGAGCAAAGGGCTGACATATTTCTGGAACGTTCCTTTTCCTACAGACCCTATGCCTGCATACTAGGGAGTTATAAAACTTTAGATGCTTCTGATTTTCTGATCCCTCCCTCCCCTCAGGTATTCATAAATTTAAAGGCCAGATCCTGCACAGTCAGGAATATAAGAGCCCAGAAGGCTTTCAAGGCAAACGCGTGTTAGTGATCGGTCTTGGGAACACTGGAGGGGACGTGGCAGTGGAACTCAGTCGAACGGCAGCTCAGGTACACAAGGGTGAATCCACACCCCCACCCCATCATCATTGCTGGTGGCTGGAGAGAGGGGTACAAACTATAAAGCACATTGGCCGATTGCTAAATCATGTGGACCCAACGTGAGTGAAAAAAAAAATCCACACATAACAGAATTGAAACATCTCCAAGAGGGGTCAAGGACACTGTGTGGATGCCAGACCACGAGGCATTTTTTCAGAGGCACTGTTTCAGGAACAAGACCAAATGAATAAATTACTCCACCCAGACCACTGATCTGTTTTTACACTCTCTCTTCATAATTCTGGCGAAACCCCCATATAAAAATAGAAAATGGAAGTTATTTTCTGAACATGTCCAAATTTTCTATTAGAAGTCACATTTAGAATTTGTTTTCAGATAAAAACAGCCTTCACTTTGCCCACGAAGTGTGCAGAATGACTTTAGAAAGTCCAAGCATAGATTCACAAATTAGAAATCTGTTCCACTTTAACATATATTATAGGACATTATTAGATTTGGGAAAGAGATGTTGAAGATTTTTATTGAACTCAGTTAAAATTGCTTTCCCAAAACTCCACTTTACATTCTGTATTATTTATATGTAAAAGATTGCCAGGTCAACAGTGCGCATATCTACTAGCACTATAATTTTTATAGTGAACATGATAAAAATACTTAACAGATATATAGATCAGGTAAAAGTGACTTATAAAAACGAAAACAACAGAAATAGTCATTTGTAGTTCTATGTACAAACTCACCAGTTAAAAACAGAAGCTATGAAGGAAATCTTGCCATTTGCAACATGGATGGAGCCAGAGAGTATAACGCTAAGTGAAATAAGTCAGTCAGAGAAAGACAAATACCCTATGATTTCACTCACGTGTGGACTTTAAGAAACAAATGAGCAAAGGGAAAAAGAGGCAAACCAAGAAACACACTCTTACCCACAAAGAACAAAGCTGAGAGCACCAGAAGGGAGGGAGGTGGGGGGATGGGTGAAATAGGTGATGGGGACTAAAAGTGCACTTGTCGCGATGAGCACCGGGTGATGTGTGCAAGGGTTGAATTACTATATTGTACACCTGAAACTAATATAACACTGGATGTTAATTAACTGGAATTAAGATAAAAACTTCTTTAAAAAGGACAGTTGTTATAAGAACATTTGAAGCACATCAAACAAACATACTACAAAATGATGTACATATATTTATCCTTCCTTACTTTTTAGGTACTTCTCAGTACTAGAACTGGTGCCTGGGTTATCCACCGCTGTTCTAATGGGGGTTACCCCTATAATATGGTGATTACAAGAAGATACCTTAATTTTATGGCGCAAGTTCTGCCCTCGTGTGTACTAAACTGGATTCAAGAGAGGCAAATGAATAAAAGATTTAACCATGAGAATTATGGACTAAGTATTACAAAGGGGTACTTAAATTTTTTATTTAATGGGAAAATTATTGAACCAATAATTTTAGGGCACCTGGGTGGCTCAGTCAGTTAAGTGTCCAACTCTTGATTTCGGCTTAGGTCATGATCCCAAGGTCATGAGATCAAGCCCCCAGTCAGGCTCTCCACTGACAGCATGGAGCCTGCTTGGGATTCTGTCTCTCCCTCTCTCTGTATGCCCCTCCCCCACTCACTCAGGTGCATGCACGTGCTCTCTCTCTCTCTCTAAATAAATATATTTTTAAAAAACAATCAATAATTTTTAATTCTACTTTATTCAGAACTCAAATCTTCAGTAATTATTATGCTGCCTTTATTTATTCTGCTCTGGGCTTAGTTCCTTAAGACAATGTCCATCAAGTACCACAAATAGGAATATTCTCTGTCTGGTAACAAAAGTAGTAATTCATGAGGCTAGAATATAATGAAAGATAAAAACTTTTCATTTCTTGAAAAGTCAGGATGTTAGCTTGAAAGTCAGGATGTTAAAATTGGCTTTGAGGAGTCTTGAAATGGGCACCATCTACAAATGGAATATTTGCAGCATCTTGAGTACAGATGGCCAGCTCTTGCCAATGATTCTCTGGCTGAATGATTAGAGGATGAATTTCCAATAGGAGTTCCTAAAATTAAACATTTTAATATAACATGCATCTGTATGAAGCTGCACACGGCAAGGAAAAGAAAACTTTTGAAATGAATGTAAGGTCATTAAATGTGACTTCTATTTTATGCTTGACCCAAATATTTTTTTTTTCGTAAGACAGCTCTCAACTTACAAAGAAAATTAACAGCAGTGGATGATTTGATATGTCAATTTTATAAAGACATTATATCTGCCATGATTAGATGGAATGATGTTCGTAATAAAAAATATTTTTCAGCATAACTTGGTTCAGATTTTTTTATTTTTATCCAAAAAGTTTCTTGCTAATTTCCTCTTTGTCTAACGTCAACCCTTTGAGGCCTGGGTGATGTGAGACCTGATTCTTAAACGGATTGCTGTATACTCGGTCCTAATTCTTCGAGAAAAGCATTGCTCCAGAAATGAATTTCAAGAGACAGAGAATTTTAAACCCCAGGCAGGAAAGAATAGGTTTAGCCATTTTCCACATGCCTTCTACTGGAAGCAGAAAAACAAAAGATGCTATTGAAACAGTAAGTTGGGTAGACAACTTTGAACTAGACATTGGTCAATTCACTCCCTTGGCTTGGCAGATAATTCCCCTGAGCTGACCAAATAAATAATTTGCTCAACCGTCTCACAGATACAACTACAATGAATAATTTTCTCTTCTGTGTCAAAGGAGAAAACCAAAATTCATTGTGAATGATGAGCTGCCAATCTGTATCCTCTGTGGGACGGTCACTATGAAAACCAGCGTGAAGGAGTTCACGGAAACCTCTGCTGTCTTTGAGGACGGAACAGTGGAGGAAAACCTCGACGTTGTGATCTTTACAACAGGATACACATTTTCTTTTCCCTTCCTTGAAGAGCCTCTCAAAAGCCTTTGTACAAAGAAGATATTCCTGTATAAGCAGGTCTTTCCTTCAAACCTGGAGAGGGCAACGTTAGCTATCATTGGCCTCATCAGCCTTAAAGGATCCATCTTATCAGGCACAGAGCTCCAGGCACGTTGGGCCACAAGAGTATTCAAAGGTACCTTGACTCTACTTAAAGCCCTACGTGATCAACTGAGTTTCCAATTAGTGTCTTGTGATTCAGCCAAAATGGAACAGATGTGAGCTAAAGTACCATAAGATATTTCAAGTTTAGGAAATATTTAATTTCATATATGAGTAATATTGTCATGGGTGTGCTTATGTCACTAATGTGACGGTGGAAAAAAGGTTTTGGTTGTGTGGATGGGATTAATTTGCACAGCAAGATATAATCATGTTTCTCAGATTAACTGAAATTGTTGGAAGCTTTGGGATCCTATATTCTGTTCTACTCTAGCTTATTTACTTCTAAATATTTCTATTTATTTCTAGAAGTAGAACTCTATATCCCTTCCAAAGGAAGTTGCTGGAATAATGCAGACTGTGAATAAAGTTGAGTTCTGAGGAGATGGTAACCTTTGAGTAATGCCTATAAAAAAATATTTTAGACACTAGACACGAACTGCTGTCAGTTTTCACAGTAAGAGCACAGATGATGGAGTCGGGGTTACCAGGGTCTGATCCCAACTCTAAAACTCATTATCTTTGTGAGGACCTCTCTGAATCTCAGCCCCTTCATCTGTAAAATGGGGATAATAAAACCTCTTTCACAACAGTTTTGTGAGATGGATAATGTCTGCCGACCACTTATCGTGGTACCTGGCACACAGTGAACTCTACTAATTGGTAACTGGCATTCTTACTCTTGCTGTTACTATCATACCTCTCCAAAGTAGGGCAGGTTTTAGATTAGTAAGCATTTTAAAGAATTGCATTTGCATGATTTTTTTATATTTTTAATGTTTATTTTATTTTATTTTGAGAGGGGGAGAGACAGAGCGTGAGCAGGGGAGGGGCAGAGAGAGAAGGAGACACAGAATCCGAAGCAGGCTCCAGGCTCTGAGCTGTCCTCACAGAGCCCGACCCGGGGCTCAAACTCACAAAGTGCGAGATCATGACCTGAGCCAAAGTCGGATGCTTAACTGACTGAGCCACCCAGGCGCCCCTGATTTTTTAACTATAAACAGCAATCACAATTGAGCCAACCAGGTGTTCTTTCGCAGAATTGTGTCATTAATGAATAAAAACAATCACCAGTAATTTATCAACAGTATACAACACAGTACTAAGTTGTGTCGACTTCGTTCACCCTCTACAAATGTAATAGACCTCAGATTCCGCACATTTTCATTAAATGATCACAAATATTTCTTTCTTTAAGGCCAATTAAAGTGCTTTCACAACATTATCTGGTTATATTAAAATCTCAGAAGACTCTTAAGTACGTGGTGTTTTGGGTTTTTTTTTTAATGTTTTGTAATGAGCTCAAAAATGCTCACCAGAATGATAGAGCTGACAAAACAAAACTCAATTAGATGACGCCACAGGAGGAATTACATGCTTCTCCAGAGAGCCTCCAGACGCAATCTGAGAACCACTAGGTAAAGTCTTGCCCGCTTTTTACAGGGTAAAGTGACTCTAGTGGCAAGCACACGACGGGGCTAAGTCAGACCTATCTCAAGTGGATACTAACCCCCCACCCTGGGGCCAGCACTTGGCTCCAGTCGGAAGAGCAGAGTCCAAGAACTGAGACCGTCTAGGAGAGAGACCGAGAAGGAACACATGCCCACAACCACTCAAGAGGTCAGAGCCTAGTCTCTCTGTGAGGCTGAGGGACCACCAGGCGCTTCCACACACGAGGCTTCCGGTGCAACAGGAGTGAAGACATGTCAAAGCAGGGCTATAAAAACAAGGTCATTTTAAGTAGTTACATTTAACCCACAAATAGCTTTAACACACACATACAAATACAAACAGGGGTATACAAACAATACAATACAAACAGTATATATGAATATATGTAATGTGCAAGCAGGTAAATGAGCTGGAGCAGGTACCGATGACCGATGGGTCAGCGCAGGCTGAGGTCTGGAGGACAGGGGCGTCCATCCTCATAATTCTGGCAGTAGAATGCCACAAACCCTGGTTAAGTGGGTTTGGAGGGGCATTATGCTTCCAGAAATTACCTCTAGTTCCAGTCTAAGCTTTGACTATTACACATCCTAAGGATAGAGCAGTGGGGGGCCAGAAATGAGGGAGAAGAGAACGCAAAGGAAAAGGCACATGTGACGTTAATGTTCTTTCCAATGTTTCTCACAGGACTCTGTAAGATACCTCCGTCTCCAAAATTGATGGCTGAGGCTATGAAAAAGGAGCAGCTCATAGAAAGGTATGACACGACATGTAGCTTCTTCGGGAAAACCTACCAATGTATTTCCATACCCACAAACCTGCATCGGAGCCAGAAGAATATGCTTTTAATCCCAACTGTTCCACCAACTAGATGTGTGGTCTCGGATGTGTTAGGTAGGGGTACCAGCTCCTCTCAGCAGAATACAGAGCCAGGGCCCCAACAGGTGGCAACCTTGAGCTCACTTGGCCGCCAGAACCCCCTTGTGCCTTTGTTCTTGGGTCTCTTAGGCTGCTCTTTCTCTGCAATTCCTGGTGTCACCTCTTCCTCGCTCCTAAAAATTGGTGAACCCCAACCTTAATCCTCAGATCCTTTCTCACTTCTACGAACACCCACTCCTAGGCGGCCTCACCCAGGCCTGTGGCTCTCAATTCCATCACATAGTCATGACTCCCAAGTCTCTCCCTCGAATTCCAACTCCTAATCCAAGTCCCTCCAGATATCTCCACTTGGATACCACTTAGATATCTCAGATTTAATACAGCTAAGAATGAACTCTAGCCCTCTAACACCTGCCCACTCATCCTGCACCTGGGCTGCTCTGAGACTTTTCTTCCCCTTCTCAGTCACTGGCTACTCACTCTGGGTGATCAGCCAGAACCCCTGAGCGATCCTTTTCTCCTCTTTTTCTCTCCATACCGCACATCAGCAAATACTGTCAGCTCCTACCTTCGAACAGAAGGTAGAAATCCAGACCCTTCTAGCTACCCCCACAGCCACCCCAGACCAGGCCACTGTCACCTCTCACTAGGACACTGGCTGTCACCACTTATCTGGTCTCCCGGCCTCCTCTCTGCTCTTCTACAGCGAGTGTCAAGTCTTGACACTGCGGCAGAAGTGAGGAGCACCACATTGTCCTTCTGGTCAAAACCCTCTGATTGCTTCCCATTTCACTCCCAGAAACTTCCCTGGGGCTCCCCAGTGCTCCAGAGCAACCAGCTGTCTCTGTGCCCTCATTGCCTACTGTCCTCCCACCTCACCCATACTGGTCCAGTCCGAGGCAGCCTCCTCCCTGGTCCTCAAACACCCCAAACCTAGCCCCCTCAGAACCTTTGCACTTACTCTAACCTCTGCCTGGAATGTTCTCCCCTCGCCTCCCCCCCATACCTACAGGCTCACTCTGTCAAATATCGCCTCCTAAGAGAAGCCTTCTCTGACAACACTGTATAAATATGGCGGCCTACTCAATCCCTTCATTGCATTCCCCCCCCCTCCTTTATATCTCTTCATAATACCTATTACCACCTGATTTATTATATATCTGCTTGGCTGAGGGTTTCTATAGCCTGTTAATTTCCTCACTAGAAGGTAAGCTTCTTGACAACACAGACTTTGTTTTATTCATTGTTAGACTCCTGGCAGCTAGCATGATGCCTCATGTGATATTTATTGAAGGAATGAATGAATGAATGTCATTAGGACATCATGAAAGTTTACTAACCACAGAAATAGATAGGAATAAAGCTTTCATATACATGATACCCACATCTGTGTCATGTTCAGGGCCCCATGTATGGCTCTCTCAACTCACAATTAATGTCAATAACAATAATTTAGGTGGCCATATATGTGATGCTTTCTGATCATGTTCATTCGTTCAATAAGTGCTGTATTGAGACTGGATGAGATTTTACCCTTATATCAAATTCAAGAACCTAAAACATTATCTAGAACTGCTCTTCCAATTGCCTCCTTTTACCATCTCCTTTAACAAAATTACCTTCCCAAATACCTTCTGTAGATAAACTCTTATTTTTTTTGCTTTGCAACATAGAAAAACATTCCCAAACATGGCTTGACTGTGATAAAAAGAAACAAAATGGCGGGAGGAAGGGTGACTTATAACTTGAAACTGAAAAATGATCCATCTTTTTCCCCTGCAGGGGTGTGATGAAAGACATCAGTAAAGATAAACTTGAGTACATCACCTACATGGATGACATTGCCACATGCATAGGGACAAAGCCCAGTGTCCCATTTCTGTTCCTCAAGGATCCCAGACTCGCTTGGGAAGTTTTCTTTGGACCGTGTACTCCTTACCAGTACCGCCTAAAGGGACCTGGGAAATGGGATGGAGCCAGAAATGCCATCCTGACCCAATGGGACAGGACACTGAAACCCTTAAAAACTCGAATCGTCCCTGATTCCACAAAGCCTGCCTCCATGTCACATTATTTAAAAGTTTGGGGGGTACCTATCCTACTTGCCTCTCTTCTGCTGATCTGTAAATCTTCACTTCTTCTGAGTTTGTGCAAGAATTTCCTCTTACCAGTAAGTATTTGGTGAGGATGAATCTGATTGGTTACAAGGGTTGTCCCGAGCCATATTAATTCTATCTCCAAATATTTGTGCATCCCTCCTCTCCTCTCCATCATAACCGCTATCTTTCAAGTTCAAGTCCAGTCATCTCTTACCTGAATTATTATACTTACTGCCTTCCTCTATAGTCTCAGTGGCTCCTTTCTTGCCTCCCTTTCCAATCCATACTCTACTCTGCTAGCTAAGCAATTATGTAAAATAAAAATATTGTCATTGTTTCCATAAAAATGCTGATTGGAATAAGATGACACTCAAATTAGTTAATTTGGTGGAAATTTTAATATAGAGATTACTACAAAAGGTTTGGGCAGACTGTAAGGAAATCATAGGGATAATGAAATACTCCCAGACTAGTAACAATGAGATATTTTTACCATTCTGAGGCCTAATGAGGCAAGAGGAGAAAACAATTATAAATGAGACAGAGAGACTTCTTTGTGGAGAGGGCTATACCTCAAGAATTACGGCCTTCAGCTGACAGATGAAGGCAGTCCATGGTGACCCCAAAAGTGCAAAGCTTGGGAATAAGTTCCCTAAGTTTATTTTCTTCCCTCCCTCTGATCCCCTGCCCATGCTCCCCAATGGCCTAACCCAGCCAAAACTCAAAGGGCAAGGTTACCAACTATTGTGGATTGAATTGTGCCCCTCAAAAAGTTATATGCAAGTCCTAACCCCTGGTACCTACACCTTGTTTGAAAATAGGATCTTTGTGAATGTAATCAATTTAAGATGAGATCATACTGAAGTAGGGTGAGCTAAATGCAATATGATTGGTGTCCTTATCAATGAGGATAAGACACACCAACAGAGACACGGGGGGAAATGTTGTGTGAAGACGAGCAGAGGTCGGAGTGATGCATCCACAAGCTAAGGATGGCCCAAACACTGGAAGCTAGGAGAGAAGCATGAACAAACTCTCCCCCAGAACCTCCCGAGGAAATCAATCCTGCTAACACCTGGGTTCCAGACTTCCAGCCTCCAGAACAGTGAATGAACAAGCCACCTGGTTTGTGGTATTTTGTGGTGGCAATCCTAGGAAACTAACATACCGACTGATGCCATCCACAGAAGTCGGCCTCCTAACGTACAGACGGAGCAAAGACAATGGAGAGCACATATGGAAGGGCAGACAGAAAGGACCCAGTGCAGACTGTTTACTATCCTTCAAAATTTCTCCTTTGATTAGAGATAATCGTCCAAATTACTGAACCTGGAAGAGGAGACCCTTCGTGATCTGACCGCATTTGCCCAGGTCGCCAGAGTCCTGTCCTACAGCTTCCCCCACTCCACTCTGGACCTACCATCCAACACTACCAAACTGTCAGCTGCGCCATACCTCCTCTCTTTGGCACAAGGCATTGCCTCCACTGGGAACTCGAATCCACCCCAACTCTCTTTCGAGAGAGAGGTCGATTATCTCCCTCTGTGAAGCCTTTCCTGGATCCTTAAAGCAGAGTCGACCTCCCATTCGTAATGACTGCCCTTCATGTACTGCTTTGTCATTGCCCTTTTCTTACTGTCATGTACAGTTGACCCTTGAACAATGCAGGTTTGAACTGCATGGGTCTACTTATATGCAAATTGTTTTCAATAAATACAGTACAGTCTTATAAGTATGTTTTCTCTTCCTTACGATTTTCCTCATAACATTTTCTTTTCTCTATTACTTTATAGGAATACAGTCTATCATACAAATAACACACAAAATACATGTTGATTGACTTTATGTTATCAGGATGGCTTCCGGTCAACAGTAGGTGATTAGTATACTAGTAGAGTTAGATTTTGGGGGGAATGAGAAGTTATACAGATGTTTTACTGGGCAGTGCTGCTTTGTTTAAGGATCAACTGTAACATTCTTTTTGTGTCTGTCTCCCAGCAAATGAGAAGTTACTGAGGGGAGTTGTGTCTTGTTCAGCTAAAACACTGCCTGATCCAAAATATTGCGAAATAAATATTTGGTGGCTTACCAGTTGCCTCACCAGCTGACTTTCTTGTCTGTGTTCTCCTATCCAGGTTCTTTCTCCTGCCAACATGATAAACATCCTCAGGTTCCCTCAGCCACGCAAACGAACGAGAACAGTTCCCCAACAGCAAGAAATCCATGTGGCAAATACAGTCAATATGGCTATACAATAACTAGCAACCATGTGTCCTGGTTGAAAGCACTCTCTCTGACTTGGATTATAATCCCAGTTCTGGCATGAGCTGTGAGGGCTTGGCCAAGTGACTTAGCCTGGCTAAGCCTCAGTATCCTCATCTGGAAAATGAGGAGAAAGGTAATAATGGCATCTACCTTAAAAGCAAACAGTGAGACAATACAGGATGTTAGCTACCCAGTAAATTAACTATCAATAGCTGATGAGCCCGAGGACATTTTCAATTCTCTGACTTAAAGGATTTGAAACCTGTTGCCCGGCTCCTTTCCCTCTTGCCTAATCAGAAAGCATGGCCTTTGCTCTCCATGAATCCCCTGGTAGCACTTTCCAGCTAAGATCACTCTTTTGTCTTCGTGACCCCCACCAAATCACTGAGGCCCCTTGCCACCATCATGGCTGCCGTCATCACCACACACACCCCACTCCGGTGGCCCCCCCCAGAATGCAGAGGGAAACGTCAGCAAAGGAGGAATCATTATGTCAGGGCATAACTTGACATAACTTGTTGATATGTCTGACATAACTTGTTGATATGTCTGGATTTTTACTAACAACATCACCTAGTAGAAGGGACACCTAATTCCAAATCTTCAAAGCTGACCAATGAGAGCAATGTCATATTTATCTATGCCCAAGTTCTTGAAGGAGAAAGCAGAGCTGAGATGTCTTTATTATCTCATTACATGTAATGTTGCGATTTATTTTTCCATGTATTAATTTTTAGATGAGAAAGCAAACTCCGAGAAGTAATTTGCCCCGATTCACAGAGCAAGGGAGAGACAGAACAGAGATTTGAATCCAAACATATGCAACCCTAAGGCCTTGAGATTGAGTTGCCTTGAGAGAGAACTCCTCCAATTCACTCCTTACCACCTTGACTTGCTTATGGATGACGTTCCAAGCTGGACATTTCCTCCCTGAACCTTGAATAGACTTCTGAATATTCTACTTATCACATGCCATGACCCTAGTTCCCGAAAAAAAAAAAAAAAAATGTATCATGAAAAGGCCACTGCAGGGGCAGTTGGTTATGCATCCTACTTCGGCTCAGGTCATGATCTCATGGTTCATGACTTCATGCTCCACATCGGACCATCCAGGCACGGAGCCTGGAGCCTGCTTCAGATTTGGGGTTTCTCTCTCTCTCTGCCCCTCCCCCATTTGTGCTCCATCTCTCTCTCAAAAATAAACAAACATTTAAATGAAAATGTTTTGATGAAATACAGCCAGATCAACACTAAACCATCCTGCACACCTAGAAAACTGATCTGAGGTTTAACACAACAATCTGCACCACCTGAACCACAGAACTCAGCAGGTACACGGCGCGGAGAGATGAACTGGGGGAGAGAGAAGCCGGGAGGGCAGGATGCTGTTTTTCCGTGTGGAGAGGACAGAGACGGGGGGGAGGGGGAAATACGGGAAAAGCACCCCTCCCAAAGCAGCTGGAGAGAAGGTGGAAAAGTGGAAACAGCCGCAGGGACTTAACTAAAAAGGGAGATAGGAGAGGGCTTAAATTCCATTAAGACTATAAACAGGGGGAGCTCAGAGGCTGAAACTCTGCAGCACCATACCTGGCGGAGCTCGGATGGGAAGGGCGAATCTCCAGGAGCAGAGAGGAGTCCGGGGGTCTTCAGACTGAACGGGAGAGGTGGTTCCCGGGACAGCTGGTAGAGGCTGTGTGGATCCCCCCAAAGGCAAGGCCCCAGTGGACCTGGGAGAACAACCTGGTGCTGGAACAAGGTCGCTGGGGGCGGAGCCCAGTGCCAGATGCGTGTTTTTCCATAATCCCTGAAACGCCGCTGCTACACGATCGCGCGAACTTTCTCTGGGGCAGGCTGGCACCCGGCTGCAGTATCTGGGCATCGGCAGCAGCAACCAGCAAACGTTCCTGGGTGCAGCCGGCACCCGGCCACCGCTCAGTGAGACCCTCCCTCAGAGGAGCAGAAGGGGTCAAAGCCGCAGTCCCTCAGAAGTAAGGGGTCAGGAAAAACAGCCGTATCTGAGATAAAACTCAGGAGGGAGGTGCTGCCTGGAGTTCGGTTGCAGATGGTGTAAAGGCGGGGAGCGGAGGGAAGCTGAAGACAAAGGACAGGTG